AGGGGCTTGAGTTCTAATTTTCACTTCACCACCAATACAGCTGTGTGACCTGGAAAAGGATTTTACATGTACTTACCCAAAACTGGGATTGGATAAGTTGGTTTTTAAGGTTCCTATGAGTTCTAGAGCCTGATCATCTAAATAAAAAGAAATTGAAATTGTATTAGAATTATTTAATTGTATAAGACTTTTAACAGTTGATCTGAGCACATTTACCCATGCATACTAAAATTTTTTTATTTATGTATTTATTTATTTATTTTGTGTGTGTGTGTGTGTGTGTGTGTGTGTGTGTGTTGCACAATCTGGCATGAAAAATAATTCATCATATGTAGTTTGATTAAGGTATTTAATGGAAGAGCTACAGAGGTGTGGACGGAATTACTGTACTCATAGACTCACCTTCTTCCTCCCACCTTGCCAAGCCTGAAAAAACAAGAAGGAACGTGTTACTGGAGCCCAGCAAGAGCTGGGGCTCGGGAGGAGCCACCGGACAAGAGCTGTCGTTGTAAAAGGACACAGCCACACCAGATCCATTCACTTGTATGGCTGTGTAGATGTCTATACCACCGTGATTGATCCATTCTATTGTGGGTGGATACTTGAGTTATTTCCTGATTTTCGTCCTTATAAAGAACGTTGCTAAAATATTCTTGGACCTGCTTCTTGGTGAACATATACACACTTTTCTGTTGGGTATATATGTAGGGGTGGAATTGCTGGGTCATAACATATATGAATCATCAGTGTGGACTGCCCAAACTTTTTTCAAATTGTGTGTACCAATCTACATCTCATTAACAGTATGTAAGAATTCCTCTTGCTACATATTCTTATCAACCCTTGCTGAAAAAGAAAGACAAAGTGTGAGAACCTACACAATCAGGCATAAACAGTTATTATAAAACTACAGTAACTGAGACAGAGTGATCTGGGGGAAAAGATAGATAAATAAGCCACTGGAGAAGAAGAGTCCCGAAACAGAGCCACACAGATATGGATACTGAATTAATCACAAAAGGTAGCATTGCAGAGCCATAGAAAAAAAAGATAGACTTTTCAGTAGATGGTGCTGAATCAACTGAATTTATCTTATCCCAAAAAAAGAAACTCGACTTCATTTCCCAACATACCCAGGAATCATTTCCTGGTGGATTGCAGATCTAAATTTGAAAGGTAAAACAATAAAGATTCAGAAGAGAAGATGGGAGAATTTTTTCATGAGCTGGGAGTGGGGTAAAAAAAAATTTTTTTTAACAGAACACAAAAAGCATTTGGCTAAGAAAGATTAATAAACTGGATTCCATTAAGATTAGGGACTGTCACCCTAGCTGGTTTGGCTCCGTGGATAGAGTGTCAGCCCAATTCCACCCCTTAGTTCAATTCTGGTCAAGGGCACATACCTCGGTTGCAGGCTTAATCCCCAGCCCTGGTTGAGGTGCCTGCAGGAGGCAGCCAATGGATGAATCTCTCTCACATCGATGTTTCTCTCTCTATGTCTCTCCTCCTCCCTTACATTCTCTCTAAAAATAAATGGTAAATATCCTCAGTTGATTGAACAACAAAAAGGATTGTGGACTGTCATTCACTAAAGAACACCATAAAAAGTACTATAATATATAAGTCACAGATTGGCGAGGTTATTTGTAACATATCTTAGTTCAGAATGCAGTAACGAAAATGCCTTAGATTGGGTGGCTCACAGTAAATATTTACACGGAGTGGCCAGATTATTATGATCTCTGGCATAATAATCTGGCCACTTAGTGTATATATAGTAAATATATATATATATATATATATATATATATATATATATATATATATATATATATATATATTAGAGGCCCAGTGCATGAATTCATGCATGCTGGGGTCTGGCCAGCCTGACCAGGGGGAGGGGACATGGGCAGTTGGCCGGCCTGCCTGCTGGTCGAACTCCTAGTCCAGGGGACAATTTGCATATTAGCCTTTTATTATATAGTATATACACTGAGTGACCAGATTATTATGCATTCAGAGATCACAATAGTCTGGCCACTCAGCTATTACTCATAGCTCTGGAGAGTTGGAAGCCCACAATCAAGTCACCTGAGAGTCTGCTTCCTGGCTCATACACGGCTATCTTCTCTCTAAGTCCTTACGTGGAAGAAGGGGAAAGAGAGCTCTCTGAGGTCTTTTTTAAAAGAGCATTAATCCCATTCATGAAAGCTCCCCTCTCAAAACTTTATCATCTCCTGGAGTCCCTACCTCCTAATACCAGCACATTGAGAGTTCGGATGTCAATCAACTGATGAATTGGGGACATAAACATTCAGTAATAACACACATATAACTGACAAAGGGTGATTATTCAGATTATAAAAAGAACTCTTAGAATAAAAAATATTGCAACTCAAAGGAAAAATGATCAATAGACTTGAATAGGCACTCCACAAAATAGGATATCCAAATTGTTAATAAATATAATAAGGGCACAAACACATGCAAAACATGAGATATTATCTCACACCCACCAGAACAGCTAAAATTAAAATGACTGACAATATAGTGTTGGAGAGAACAGCAATGAGAACTCTCACACATATAAATTGATACAATCCCTTTGGAAGTGAAAATAAATTTAAGTTGAAAATATGCTATGACTCAGCAATTCTACTCCTACTCCTATACTCCAGAAATGAATACATATGTGCACCAAAAGACATGTAGAAAAATATTTGCTAACAATGTTTCTTCTATTTTTTAAATTTAATAAATCTTTATTGTTCAGATTATTATGAGTGTTCCTCTTCTCCCTTCCCACCCCCCATGGCTCCCCTCCACCTGGTTCCCACCCCACCCTCTGCTCTTACCCTCCACCTCATCCTCATCCATAGTAATTGATATTTGTCCAGTCTCTTCCTGCACCTCCCACATCCCTTCCCACCCCCCTTCCCGCCCCAAGAATTGTCAGTCCACTCCCTTTCTATGCCCCTGATTTTATTATATTCACCAGTTTATTCTGTTCATCAGATTTTTTTATTCATTTGATTTTTAGATTCACTTGTTGATAGATATGTATTTGTTGTTCATAATTTTTATCTTTACCTTTTTATTCTTCTTCCTCTTCTTAAAGAGTACCTTTCAGCATTTCATATAGTACTAGTTTGGTGATGATGAACTCATTTAGCTTTTTTTTAAATCTGTGAAGCTCTTTATCTGACCTTCAATTCTGAATGATAACTTTGCTGGGTAGAATAATCTTGGTTCTAGGTACTTGCTACTCATCACTTTGAATATTTCTTGCCACTGCCATCTGGCCTGCATAGTTTCTGTTGAGAAATCAGCTGACAATCATGTGGGAGCTCCCTTGTAGGTAATTAAATGTTTTTCTCTTGCTGCTTTTTTTAAAATATATTTTATTGATTTTGTACAGAGAGGAAGGGAGAGAGATAGAGAGTTAGAAACATCGATGAGAGAGAGTCATCGATCAGCTGCCTCTTGCACACCCCCTACTGGGGATATGCCCGCAACCAAGGTACATGCCCTTGACCGGAATCGAACCGGGACCCGTCAGTCCCCAAGCCGACGCTCTATCCATTGAGCCAAACCGGTCTCGGCTCTTGCTGCTTTTAATATTCTCTCTTTGTCTTTTGCTCTTGGCATTTTAATTATGATGTGTCTTGGTGTGGTCCTCTTTGGATTCCTTTTGTTTTGGATTCTGTGCACTTCCCTAAACTTGTAAGTCTATTTCTTTCACCAGGTAAGGGAAGTTTTCTGTCATTATTTCTTCAAATAGGTTTTCAGAATCTTGCTCTCTCTCTTCTTCTGCCACCCCCATAATTCTGATGTTGGTATGCTTGAAGTTGTCCAAGAGGCTCCTTATACTATTTTCATATTTTTCTTTTCCGGTTGAGTATTTTTTGTTTCTTTGTATTTCAGATCTTTGACTTGATTCTTGCCATTCTCTAGTCTGCTGTTAGATCTCTGTATAATATTTTTTATTGCAGTCAGTGTATGTTTAATTTTTAGTTGGTCCTTTTTCATATTCTCGAGGGATTTGCTAAATTTATTGGCTTTTTCTAGAAAATTCTTGGAAAACCTTATAACCATGATTTTGAACTCTATATCCAATCCTTTGCTTTCCTTCATTTCTTTCATTTGTAATCTGTTTCTTTGTCTGAATTTTGGTTGCTTCCCTGAGTTGATAGAGTCGCTTTGTGTGCTAAGTGTCCTATAGTGCCCAGTGGCTCAGCCTCCCCAGTTATCTGAGGTGGACACTCTTGGTGCATCCTTTTGTGGGCTGTGTGCACAGTCTTGTTGTAGTTAAGCCTTGATTGTTGTTGGTATAATTGGGAGGAATTGACCTTCAGGCCAATTGGCTGTGAGGATCAGCTGTCTCTATGCTGGGAGTACTTCTGTGCTGGAAACACCCCTATGAAACTTGACTTGAAAAAGCCTCTGTGCTCAGCTTGGATGGGGCAGGAGTTTCAGGGTAGAGCAGACAGCTTTGGCTTTCTATCGTCCCTGCCCTAAGAGGCCCCTGTGTCTCAGTGTCCCGTGGTGATTGCTACAAGCACCTCTGAGAGAAAGCTACCTCGAGTTCTGCCCACTGCCAGACAGTCCAGTTTCTCCCCAAAAGAGTCTGGGACCCCAGAGTCTCACCCAGAATTGGAGTTCAGTGCAGTAGGGAGCTTTTGTCTCCCTCCTGGTTGAGAAATCCAGCTGCCTACTCAGATGTTTGTCCTCTCAGCGCACCTCAGTACCCCTGCCTTCCACAGTTCCTCTGAGTCTGTGTGATTTTCTCTTTCCTAACTGTCCAGTTTCACCCTATATGAGTCTGGGTCCCCACAGTCTTGCCCAGAACTGGAATTCAGTGCAGTCAAGAGCTTTTGTCTCCCTCCTGCTTGAGAAAGCCAGCTGCACATTCAGTTGCCAGTCCTCTCTGAGTGTATGTGTGCGCGTGCTTCTTAGTACCTCTGCCTCCTACAGCTCCTGTGAGTCTGAGTGTGCTTTTCTCTTTCCTTCTAGTTGTAGAATTTCTACTCAGCCAGCCTTCCTGTGGTTCTGGATGATGTCCATTTTGTCTTTTAGTTGTAGTTTTGAAATTGTTGTGCGAGACAGCAGTTTAGGTGATTACCTATGCCACCATATTGGTTTCTCCTAATATGTTTCTGAATAGATAAGAATGGAAACAACCCAAATGTCCATTAATAAAATCAATCAATTAATTAAGGTATACCCATGCAATGTAACAGGATGCAGCAATGAATGTGAACCAATGCCACAACAACATGAATCAATCTCATTTGTCATTGCAATTAGCTACTTAAATTGGGATATATTTATGAAATTAAATACTTTGTTGTCATTTAAAGTAATGTCTGTGTATATGGCAGGTATGGCTCAGTTTGTTGGGTGTTGTCCCATGCACTTAAAGATTGCCCGTTCAATTCCCTGTCAGGGCGCATCCAGGTTGTGTGCTTAATCCCCAGTAGCGGGCATGCAAGATGTTTCTTTCTCATTGATGTTTCTATCTCTCTATCGTTCTCCTTTTCTCTATCTCTCTAAAATAAATAAAAACTTTTTTTTAAGTAATGTCTCTGGAAAACTTTCAGAACATTTTGCTAAGTGGAAAAAGCAGTTTTCAAAAGAGTATACTCGGTACAAGTTTTTTTGTTTTGTTTTGTTTTTTTTAATGTATGTGTGTGTTTGGTGTGTGTGTGTGTTCAAAGAAATTAACTGGAAGGATTCACTTCAAAATAATAATGTTTGCCTCTGAGTGGTGTTCTTACAGATTTTGTTTTTTGCCTTTTTGAATTCTTTGATTTTGCTACAATAAATGTGTTCTATTTATGTTTAAAAAGTGTTTTTATACAGAAAATCTATTCAGAGCTTGGTTAGCATTTCATTAAGTATGCTTTTATACATTTCCTGATTCTATTAAAGTAATCCTTTTTTCTCCCCATGGTATGTGAATCAGGCAAAATTGAAAAATCAATCTGCTAAGTAAAACATTAAACTAAACATCTGAAGTGGCTTCAGCTCGAGCTTTCCTGTTGTGTGATTCTGTTTCTCCCATCTGAACTCTCTGAACCCAATATTCCCTTCCCAGGAGCCTGCTGGAATTTAGACTTTAAATCATTCTGTTTCTCTGTATATTTTCTCAGTGTTTGGCTTCTTTTCCCCCTCCCCCCCCCCCCCCATCTACAAGATACACAGCTACAAAATCTCCAGGCATAAACCAGAGTAGGTGGTTTATTTTTTAAAAGTAGTAATAATCCTACTAGATGCCATGTATGACTTGCCTACTATTTGTCATACACAGCACTAAACGCTCAACATTAAGTAACCCTTGTAACCCTAAAATGTGTCTTTATATCTATTTTACAGATGAAGAAACTGAAACTCAAATAGGTTCAGCAACTTGGCCAAGGTCACCTATTTAGAAAGAAGCAAAGCCAAGATTCAAAAGCAGGGAAGGGCCATGAAGGAAGGTGACCTGTAGAGACTATCCATAGAGACTCGTGTAATAAGAAGTACCTTGAATCCTCAGTACCCAAGGTCACTTTCCTACAGAAGTCTAATATTGAACAATGAAAGTGAAAAATGTCAGAAATGAATCACTAAGAGAATGAGGCAATCTCCAGGGGTCTCCCATGGTCATTGACACTGGAGGCTTCATTCCACATCAAGGCTTCTTTTTTTGATAAGTGTGCCTACCTCTTGGCTGGACAGAACAAGATCCTGAAAACTCTACCTTGAACTGCCAGGCCCCTACATCCCTGGGTTGGTCTAGTGGAAGCACTTAGCAAGCAGTGAGATCTGGAATACATGACTTCTGAGGTGTCAGTTTTGTTAGATGCATCAGGGAAACATTCAGAATACCATGGACACTCAAGATGTTGACTATTAAATGCCAGAAAATGTCCAAGGCCTAAATAGCTAGGCATCATGGCAAAGCCAAAATGGGGATGGTGGTCTTCCAATCATTGCTTTCCCAGCTACAAGTTGGAAGTACTCCCAGAGGTGTAGCCACATAAATGAAGACATTTTTTTCATTTGAGGTGGAGATGAAGAGCTAGGAATTAGAGGCCTTAAGTAATGGTTCTCAAACTTGATCTTGCATCAGAAGCACATGGAGAATTTGGTAAAACAGTTTGCTAAACTCCATAAGCAGATTTTCTGATTCAGTAGATCTGGAGGGGGGCCCAATCATTTGCATTTTAGCGATTCCCAGGTAATTCTGGTCCAGGGCCACACTTTGAGTATCATTGGCCTAAGAAGTTTGTACAACAGATAAATTATGTTGTAATAACAGCCCTTTCCTTCATAGTCAGAGTGAGGAAAGATTTCAGGGGTGCTAGGCTTGATCAGACAAGGCAAAGAAATGCCAGGATATTTCATCAAAACCAAGTGACCAGCAAATGTCAAGGAGGAATAAAGTGAGAAGCCACATAAGGAGAAAAGGCCATCTCCATGGGATTTGGCATCCTGGAGGTCATCATCAGTGGCCTTGAGGAGAGTTCCACTGGAGCGGTGGGACAGAAGCACCGTTTCTGAATGAAATAACTGGCAACAGTACTTGTAGATCTCTCTTTTCAAATAACCTGGCTATGGAATAAGGGTAAGTTTTCAAATGGTAACCAGAGAGGATTTGACTTGAGTGAGTACTGAAGGCAAGGTAGTATGCGGGAAGAAGATATTGTAGGTACAAGGGAGAAAGGAGCTGGCCAGTGAGCAATTCCTAAGAAACTGAAAGGGATTCCAGGCCTTATGGAGGGAGAACTCCTTTTCACTGAGGCAAGAGGGAAGGAGACAGGACAGGTCAAAAGAGGATTTAGTTTGTAGGTGGCTGGGAAAGAAGTTGAGAGAGTTCTTGCGCGATGGCCTAAATTTTCACCGTAGAAGAGACAAAGAGAAATTCCTTAGCTGAGATATTCCAATAGTTCAAAGAATTGCCTCAAGTGTGTGGGGGGGGGGGAGGGGGGAGAGGGAGAGGGATAATTAGAATTAGCAGACCAAAAAGATGGGTGGTGATCAGGGGGAAAGATGCTTGAGATTGAGATTTTTAAAGGCAACCTACTGATTGATAATGATAGCTATTTGGATACTTGTTCTTTGGCTTTATCAACCATCTGAATCCTTGAAGTCAAACTCTAATGATTCACACAGACCACAGCTTGTAATTATTTAAGCTCAATCATTCTCTTATTTCCCAAATAGTGGAATCACATCATTTATGTTTTTAACTAATTTAAATGTGGATCTATAGGCTGGGGGTGGGGGAGGGACGGGATTGAGAAAAGGAAAGAACGAACCATTTCAATAGCACTGTTGTTCACTGCCTTTCCTTTCAATGAATGTGCACCCAAGAGAGAAGATGAGATGGAAGCCGTGACTCTGCTCTCACAGACTGACCTCAGTTCCCTTGTATTGTCAGAGCATCTCACTGCCCTCACTGTGATTCTGTATTTAGAGCATGGCCTCTTTTTGTCAGTAAGGCCTCTAGCAAACACATGCCAACCAGTTCGCATGTTGCTCAACCAGAGAGAGTTGTAGGCAAATGTTGGTTATGCAGTTCTTACTGAAAAACAATATGTAGGACATCAATGCTATATATATATATATTAAAAAAAAAAATATATATATATATATATATATATATATATATATATATATATTTACAGAGGGGAAGGAAGGGGGATAGAGAGTTAAAAACATCCATAAAAGAGAAACATGGGTCAGCTGCCTCCTGCACACCCCCTACTGGGGATGTGCCCACAACCAAGGTACATGCCCTTGACTGGAATCAAACCTCGGACCCTTCAGTCCACAGGCCGACGCTCTATCCACTGATGAAGGATGATTTAAGGCATTTCAAAAAGGCAAGTTTGACCTCATGAAATGCACACCTCTAGTGCTGGCTTTAGAATCTGGCCCCGTCTGTGATACAAGGCCATTACGTTCCCATCTAGGCCACAATCTGACCCTGGGTCCCCGTCCACTCCATCTTCTCATCCTTCTGCCATCACTTACGTCCTATTGATTTCCAATCATAGTTTTAAGTTTCATCTGGGCCCTCCTCCCTGCTCATTAAGCCTCCTGTATGTCAGAAGTTACGGCCTTTTCCCGTTTTTCCAGCAGTTAACCTATCCTCTTTGCTCAGCTATCTGCCTACTCATGTACTCAAGGGCTTGAACCCTGTACAATCTGTTTCTTCCTAGTGCTTCCTGTCTTAGCATTTGGACTGGTTTCACTTTTAAGTCATGATTGCAGGTCTAAAATGGGATTGCAAATCCACAAACCTGGCAATCCTACATTTCTCTGCTGAGATGGTGTGCTTCTTAGAGAGAAGTCTGTTTTAAAGCTGCTCCTCTTTCCTTAAACTTCTGGCACCCTTACCATCCCCTTTCTCAGCTGAAGACCTCACATCAAATGTCATTAACCACTGTAGCAGTCAGATTGAAACTTGCTCACCTCTCCACCACCAGAACTGCTTCCTCCATTCTATATCCATACGCTGTCTTCCTTCCTCTCACAGTGGGTGGGGCCCCAAGCCCATCTAAGTCCAACCCTTCCATTGACACGCTGATTTCCATTATCTTTTGCCTTAAAATACTGTTCTTGAAACTATAAGAATCTCTCATTATAAAAAAATAAATTAATTAAAAAAAAGTTGTTCCCACATCTTTAGCGATTGTCCCATTTCTCTGTCTCAATTTGCCTATCCTCACCCTTGCCAGCCCCTCACCTGCTTTTCCTTCCTCAGACCTGTAACATTTGCCTCTTATTTTATTGCTCCATCCACTAAAACTGATTTTTATCAAGGTCAACAGAAACCTTCCTGTAGCTATATCCAGCAGCCATTTCTGTACCTTCATTTTATTCACCCTCTTTGCAACATTCAACACAAATAATCATTCCTTCCTTCTGGGTTATCGGGATACAATTCTCTTGCTTTCCCTTCAATCTCTCTGACTGCTTTTTCTGTCCTTTGACTGCTCTTTCTCCTCTGTCCAATAGCTAAGTGTTGGTATACATACTCTAGGGCTCAATCCAGGCTCTCTTCTCTCTTCACACTCTCTATAGAGCATCAAGTTTCAAGATCTTATATGTCATATTCTGATGATTTCCAAATTATATTATTTTTCTGGCTCCCCTTTAAGCTCCAGGCTTACATATCTAATTACCAGCTTGACATATCACACAGATAATCTAATAGGAAGCTACATTTTAAAATAGCTAAAACAGCCCTAGCTGGTTTTGCTCAGTGGATAGAGGGTCAGCCTGTGAACTGAAAGGTCCCAGGTTTGATTGCAGTCAAGGGCACATGCCCAGGTTGTGGGCTCCATCCCCAGTGGGGGACTTGCAGGAGGTTGCCAATCCATGATTCTCTCTCATCAAAGGTGTTTCTATCTCTCTCTCTCTCCCTTCCTCTCTGAAATCAATAAAAATATATTTAAATAAATACATTGGTAAAACAGAACTTTTTATTCCATGTCATGTCCCCAACCTGTTCCTCCCAATGTTTTCCTTCTCCAAAAGTGCTCATGCCATCCAGGGTGCATTGATTTTCTATTGCTACCCCTATTATTACAGGCTTAATGGCTTAAAACAATTTATTACCACACAGTTCTGTTGCTCAGACATCTGGAAACAAGTCAGATAGATCCTCTGCCTCGGGGCCTTGTCAAACTATAATCCAGATGTCATCTGAGGCTGCAGGCTCATTAGAGGCCTGACTGGGGAAGGATCCACTGTCAAACCCCCTTAGGCTGCTCAAAGAATTTATTCGCTTGCAGCTGCAGAACTGAGGGCTTCAGTTTCTTCTGAAAGCTGCCCTCAGCTTCTAAGAAGTTACCCACAGTTCCTTGCCATGTGGGCTTTTTGTAACACAGCCACTTCTTTCAGGACAGCTAGCTTCTTCAAAGCCAGTGAGGGAAGTCTCTGTGTGAGTCAGCTAACAAGACGAAATTTCATATGATACTAGAGGCCTCCCTCAGCCCAGCCTGCACCCTTTCATAGTCCGGTACCCCTCGGGGGAGATGTCTGCCTGCTGGGGATCAGGCCTAAGCCAGCAGTCAGACATCCCTCTTACAGTCTAGTACCCCTCGGGGGAGATGTCTGCCTGCTGGGGATCAGGCCTAAGCCAGCAGTCAGACATCCCTCTTACAGTCCGGGCCTCTCTTAGTCCGGGACCCCTCGCTCCTTACCTCCCACCTGCAATGGAGGCAGGAGAGGCTCCCACCACCACAGCTTGGCTCGCCAACTATGAGCCCTGCTTCTGGCTGAACAGTGCTCCCCCTGCTCAATTTGCATATTACTCTTTTTTTAGATAAGATTATTAGATAAGATGTCACTCCAAATAATTCAATTAAAATAAGAAGGAACTAGCATTTGTCCTTGGGAAATATATGAGATTGTGAGTCTATGTGTATTTGATCAGTAGTTACCTACTGGACATCAGGAATACAGAAAGAAATAGCTACACCTCACTCGATGTGGTGGGCAGATTCTAAGGTGGCTCCCATGCTGTCTGCCTCCTGGTGGCCACACTTTTTGTAATACCCTCCCTTGAGGGTGGGCAGCACCTGTGACTTGTTTCTAACCTATAGAGTGTAGCAAATGATTGGATATCACACTCATGATTACATACCCTATATAATAAAAGCATAATATGCAAATTGATCGAATGACAGAATGGGGGGTTGCTATGATGCAAACTGACCACTAGGGGACATATCCTTAATGCAGGCAAGTAGTTGGGAGCCAGCAGTCCTGGATTGTGAGAGGGATCCCAGATTGGAGAGGATGCAGGCTGGGCTGAGGGACACACACCCCCATGCACGAATTTCGTGCACCAGGCCTCTAGTTGCTTAATAAAATTATATAGGTTGCATTTCAGGTGTACAATGCTATTGTATATCATCTGTATACTGTACTGTGTGTTCACCATCCCAAGTCAAGTTTCCTTCCATCCAAATGCTATTTTCTTAGAGATAGTGCAGTCCAAATTGATATTGCAGAAGAAAAAAACCATTATTAGTGCCACATAAACTTAAGGACAGTCCCTAGCCACAAGTGACAGAGTAGCTGAAATTATGCAGAATAGTGTGAGTTCCTCCTGTTCATCTTACTCTCTCAATCTTTCTCCACTCCCTTCAAACACTAGTGTTTGGGACAAGACCAGGTCACATTATCAAACTACATATTGATAATTACTTAATAACTACTGTTTAGTTCCACAAAGAACTGTCTTTGGAATTGCCCTTTTTCTTAATCCTCAAATTAAATTATTAGTCAAGGCTTGTCCTTCTTCTATAATCTGACAGAGAAAGAAAAGATGAGAAAAGACATTTCTACCTCAAATTACACAACCAGTTCTCTCTTGATTGACACTTCAAATCATTTTTATTTTCTAAATCTGTACTTTGTTCTGTCATAAGTGTTTTGCTATTTCAATAATCTCAAACTGGTTTTAGAAGCAGGTGAATTGTAAGAAATTAACCAAAAATAAATAAATATCAAGGTTCATAACTTCCCTGAGTTTTAGATGTTCAGGCTGGGTAAGAACTGAAGTGAGATCATAAAGGGGTTGAACAATATTGAAAATCAATGTATTGAGATCTCAGTATGGTTAAGAATTGCCGAAATGGGTTAATAAGAGCAAGTGTACTGGGAAGATGAAGAGGTGTTAGTCAGAAAAGGGATGCGTGCCCTAGCCAGCTGCACAGTGGTTAGAGCGTTGGCCTTCTGACGGAAGGATCCGGGATTTGATTCCAGTCAGAGCACGTGCCCCAGTTGAGCACATGTGAGCTCCATCCCCAGTAGGGGGAGTGCAAGAGGCAGCCAATCAATGATTCTCGTCATTGATGTTTCTATCTCTCCCTCTTCCTTCCTCTCCAAAATCAATTTAAAAAAAAATTTTTTTTTTTTTAAAGAAGTATAGGCCCTGGCTGAGTGGCTCACTTGGTTGGAGAGTCATCTTATACACCAAAAGGCTGTGGATTCAATCCCCGATCAAATACTTGCCTAGGTTTCAGGTTCAATCCCCATTTTGGATGTGTATAGGAAGCAACCGGTTGATGGAAGCAACTGATTGATGTAATCAATTAATGCTTCTCTCTCTACCTCTCTATCTCTATATGTCTAACTCTATCTCTCCCCCAACCTCTTTCCTAAAAATCAAAGGGATGTATGTGCCCTAGCCAATGTTGCTAAATGGTTAGAGCGCTGGCCCACACACTAAAGGGTTTTGTGTTCAATTCCCAGTCAGGGACATGTACTTGGGTTGCAGGTTCAATCCCCAGCCCTGGTCAGGGTCCACGCAGGAGGCAACCAATCCGTGTGTCTCTTCCACATCAATGTCCCTCTCCTTCTCCCTCTTTTTCCCTTCCTCCCTCCTTTCCTTGCACTCTCTCTGAAAATCAAGGGAAAAATATCCTTGGGTGAAGATTAGCAAAGAAAGAAAGAAAGAAAGAAAGAAAGAAAGAGGGTCAGGGCATCCAAGCCTGGGTCTTAGACTCACTCCCAGGCAGGGGGTGTGAAAGAGGCAGCTGATCCATGTTTTGTTCTCACTTCAAAGTTTCTCTCTCTCCCTCTCCCTTCTCTCTCTAAAAATCAATACACTGTTTTTTAAACAAAACAAAATAAAACAAAGAAAGAGAGAGATACATGAAATCCAGATATCGGAAGTGTGCAGAAACCAATGGTGTTTAGACACTTGACGTTTGACCTGTCATGGGTTACTAACTTTTACCATTTTTGTGGCACAGGAAATTTCCCAAACTTTTGGTTTTACTGATCATCGTCAGTTTGTTGCAGATACATCGATGACCAAGGCAGCTTCCTCTGGGATGTGTGCTCCAAAGGAAAGTGTCTTCCAAGAAAGAGTGTATGGGGACCTTTGGGTCTTCCTGGCTAACCCTGCCATGAGGAAGGAATTCGATGCAGGCCTAATAGTCGTGCAGTTGTTGCTTTTCTCCTGTAGCACCATGCAACCCCCCGCTTCCCACACACCCGCTCTGTAGTGGTGCTGTCACTGAAAATGTTTAGAACCGCTATCATGGTTTCATGGGCAGCTCATTGGCTCATTGGTTCCCATTGGACAGTTCAGGAGAAAGTGCCTGGAGGAACATTAGAGCTCTAATTACGGACTGGCCTGCTGAGATAATGTTTGCAGACACACCTGCCATGACTAAATCCGAGCACCCCATGGGAAAGGAGGTATTTCTGTTTTGCTCCTTTGAAAGTGGCTTTTCTGTTGGTAAATTATCTGTCCCAACAGATCCTCTTGGAGTTCAGTGAAACTGCATCACCAGGAGTGTTTTATCTGGAAATTACACAGCGAGAACATAAAAATGAAATGATGGTATTAATTGTGACCATGCTAATGAAGTTTGTATTTCTTCA